CCACACACACACACACACACACACACACACACACACACACACACACACACACACACACACAGCAGCATATCTTGTGGTTTCTAGTAAAAGAAAAAAGAAAAGAAAAAGACAATAGAACAAAGAGTCGTAACACCAGAGCTGAAACGATCAATCATTAGATCGTCAGGAAACTATTTGGCAACAATTCTGAAAATCTGTAAATGATTTAAACCATTTTTTTTTTTAAACTAAAATACTACAAAATGAACTGGTTCAGCTACTAAAGTGTGAATCTTTGTTTCTTTTATTAAAGTAAAGTGAATAGATTTGGATTGTCGGACAAAAGAAGCAAATTGAATATGTCACGTTGTATTTTGGGAGGTTATAAAAAGGTGTTTAACAGCGATCAGAAAACAATCAACAGAAGAAGAATCAGGAACTACAGCAACAGCTGAAAGTCTCCTTGTTGATTCTCCTCCTCTGCTATAATGACTTATTCTGGTTTAACATTATTATCATTATTATTATATTTATTGATAAATAAACTGAATTATTGTCCGTCCTGCTCTCCTGTCTGAGCTCTGAGGGGGTTTCTCAGCTTCTCAGGTGTTTTGGCGACACTCCCTCAAGTGTGTGTGGTTGGTAGTTTGACACCCGACAACAAGCTAGGGGGGTGTGTGTGTGTGTGTGTGTGTGTGTGTGTGTGTGTGTGTGTGTGTGCGCGTGTGTGTGTGTGTGTGTGTGTGTGGCTGAATAAAGTAGCTCCATGTGACCTGAGGAGGTTTGCTTAAACACCAGTGCCACCTGCCAGCACAAAGAGAGATCACAGGACGAAAACATTAAATAAACTTGATGTGCTGGAGTACAACGTTCAGGTAAATTGCAATATTTTCTGCTACTTTATAATTTCACTCTCCAGTCTCATGGGGAATAAACGTAGCAAAACTCTTATTTAATTGCTTTCTGTTTTTCTCTCAATGCTAATTAACCGAGCACCGATCAATACGCAGGATCAACGACACCAATACAATGATTCTCTGAGTTAACGGCGCTCCGATCATCAACTTCATCTGTTTATTGTATCACACATTAAAGGAACATAGTGAAACATTTAGAAGGATCGATTGGCAGGAATGTAATTTATAATATCAATAAGCATGTTTTCAGTGTATAATAACAAAGAATCTTTTTTTTGTGACCTTAGAATGAGACATTTATATCTACACATGGAGCGGGAGGAAGAGCATGCACACTCAGCAGAAGCTCTTCCTGGATTGTCAAAGAGAAAGTGAAATATGAAAACGTCAAATCTTCTTACGCAACGCCTCGATTTAGAGGCCAAAACTGTCATCATGCGACTCTGAGCGTCGTCTTCCTCTTCCTCTTCCTCTTCCTGTGGTGCCTCAAGGAAAGCAGTCGTCTCTTCTGTTTCCTGTCTCGTCACAGAAGCTGTCCTTCATCCGAGCAATTAAGTCAGGTACTGGTAATGCATTAGAGGATGCTGGAATGATCTAATTAGCAGCCATATTGGATTAGTCTGACTCCTTCAGGGTCCCTCGGCGTCCTCGTGAATCCCAGCGTGGAGTCTTTGGGGGGGATATCGAAGATTAACGGACCTCTTTTCTGTCTCCGAGGAGCAGTGAGACGAGTGAAGAAGTCTAACCAGTGCAACCACTCCATGAGGGAGATACGTAATTAAACCTGGGATATAGTTTGTGAATTATTGTGAAGGGTTGCGCGTTAATCTCTTTTCCTGACATAAATTTGCCTGGTGGGGAAATTAAAAGTTTCCTGGTGGCGACGACAAACTGGCCCCGGAGCTCCAGACCATTAGGGGCCAAAAACACCCCACATTATCTGTGTGGCCATTACTCTGTGGCCATTTGATTGATTGCACGTTTCTTTGGTAGCGTGCACCATAAAAGCACATGAATTCACCAAAAAATACCACGAGATAATGTCTCATTTACATATTCAAACATAACAGTTCAGAAAATTGTCTGGGGAAGTTTGCTGCTGTCGATCAGTCAGATTAAAGCTGCACACAGTTTGCAAAATATTCTCACAGTTCTCACATCATACAAACGTTAAAATATACAGAAAAATAACCACACTTCTCTATTAGCAGAGGCATTTCAAGACATATCAATATATATTAAAACCAGATGATTTGAAAGTTGAGGTTTAATCCTGCCTGTACAGCTTACCAACGAGGCCTAGCAGACAGTGAACCCGTTACTTATTGGTGCTAATGATTCATTATACAGCTCAACTTAAAAGCAAGACATACATGTTCCCAAGCACGAGCAGAAAAACATTCATAATTCACACAAATTACAAGCTCTCATTCTCAGTTTATATCTTTGCAAATACTGACTGCTGCAAAAACAAATGCATTTCTCTCATTGATATTTGTGCAGTCTTGATAACAACGTGACCACTGTATGCTATGTTCTCATAAGTATTAGTTCAATAAGTACAGTTCTCATATCTAAATCCACTGTTAAGATGTATAGTGTTCTGATGTTCTCTGTTGTGTAAATTGATCCAAAGGAACTGTAGAAGAACTACGGAGACATTTCAGCAGAAACCAGAGAGAAAGAGACAAACAGTAATAAAGATTTATTTAACTCACGTTATTAGATGTTCTCTCCTCTCTATCATGAAGATGAATGTGTGACTGTGATGGTCCTCCTCTCCTCTCCATCTGCTGTTACAACAATCAGCAACACTGTAGATAAGCTTACTCTCCTGTTTGTGTCATTTAAATACTGTTTTTGACTTTCTTTTGTTGGCGGTGAGGCCAGAGAATGACTTCTTGATTCACTTCAGGGCTTATTTCACAGAGACATGTCTATTCTCAGCTTCTCAGCAGTTTCACACTGACCACATTTACATAACGTTACTATTTAATAATTAAAGGATTCACCTGAGTTCCCCTCGGTGGACTTCTTCACGGCTGTAAAGCCATGTCTGACCTCACAGGCTGGATGATATTTACCAGCCGCTACCAGAGGGGGGCGCTGTTTCACCCATCTGAGGAAACTCAACAAAACATAGTGTTCACATGAAGAAGAGGCGATACGGAAGCAGCTGACCTTTGTTTCCTTCCAAATTTTATTTAAGTAAAATATTTACAATGTATTGTGTTCACATGTAACACATCATGTACATACTTTGATTAAAGTAACAATTAAAATAGTACAACAATCCGTTATTGAACCCCAGACAGGAAATCTTATCTTATTATCAAATCACAGTGTACAATATTTGTTCCAGCATTCTTTGCACTCCCACACAGTATTACAGTATAATATGTAGAATCAGGTTTACTACCAAGTATGTCTGTACATACAAGGAATGTAGCTTGGTGATTGGTGCATGTAATAAACACAGTGCAATAGTATAAGACATAGTTAAAAATAAAAACATACAAATGTACAATGGATTATAAAATACATACAAACATGTTCAATTTAGTCTGATATAGTGGTTTGTGTATATTTAAATGATTTATTTATATATATATATATATAAAATATATACACACTTTTTTCACATAGAGTACTTCTCATAACTTTGTTGTCCTTGAAGTCAACATTTATGTATGTACACTAAAGAAAAGGTACACACTTCTACTACTACTGATAATAATAATTAAAATATACATAATGTATGATTTTAATTATTACTTTCAAGAGATCAGAGAAGATGTAATTCTGGCAGACAAGCAAATATAGGAAAATGAAAAAAATAACAATAAATCAACTTGTATACCAAATTAATCAAACAACATAACTCAGCTGGATAAAGATGAACAGTTATCCAAGCTTAGCTTGTGACTATGAGGCCTACACTTAGAAAGATTAACTTTTCTTTGGTGTTTTTACCAAAATACATCCATCCTTGTATCTATGAACCTGCGTGTCCACTCGTGATCATAAAATCAAAATAAAGATCAGATACAGTTATCAAATTCAACTTTTGACATTTGAAAACAGCCATTCCTGTCTTCACTTCAACATTTATTCTACTCAGCGTGGTTAACAGGACAGATGATGAGAGGGGCAGAGTTTTTACCACCCTGGTTAGCACAGGCAGAGAAGACTGGGAGGAGTTTTTCAGTGAAGGAGCAGCCAGTAAAGGCGTAGATAAGACTTCCAGCATCAACGTCAGAAAATGAGACCAGACCCTCCTCATAATCTACAAACACTCCAACCTTCTCAGGCTTTGACTCCACAGAGAGAGGGACATGGGTCTCAGTAAGAGCACTGTAGACATTGTCACTACCCAACCATAGTGTCCAGTAACCATTCTTAGAGCTCACATTGATTATCCCCTTTCTATTGACTGACTCTCTGGCAACTCCTACAACCCATCTAGTCTTGCCTTTAACCTGAACCTCAAAGTAAGATCTTCCTGTAGAGATAGACTGCTTTCCTAAAACAAAGATAAAAGTAGAAAATCTCTTTGTGTTATCTGGTAGATTCTTCCTTACAAGACCGCAATGTACTTGTTTCCCATCTTCAGACAGGATGAGCAAGGGATTTGCTGTATCAGGATCGAGTGTGACGTCCACTGCAAACTGCTGGATCCACTTCAGCTCGGTCTCTCTGAACACCGTATTCATCTCATTTCTGAGCATCTCCAGTTCCTGAGCTACAGTTGTCCTCTCGTTCCCCTCATATGGAGGTGGATCGACTCGGACTTCAGTCCAGTTCTTTGTGGGTGGAGCAGCAACCGGGGACTTGACGTTCTGGATGAGCTGAAGGTGGTCTCCTGAGTGTGAGAGCTGCATCAGCTCAGCACTCCTCTTGTTCAGCTCAGAGATTTCCTGTTTCAGCTCTTTGATGAAGCCTTCAGCCCATTTCTCTCTCGCTTTGTGGTTCTCTTCAATCGTCTTGATGACTTTGGCCTGGTTTCTCTCAACAGCCTCCTTCAGTTTGGAGAAGACAGAATTTCTGTCTTCTTTGTCCCTGTTTGCATTTTTCCTGCTGACCTTGACTGAACGATTGAACTCTTGGATCTTAAGTCGTCTCTCCTGGATCATCTGCTGAATTTCAGCTTCTGTCTTCTCAACCCCGGCCTTCTTTCTTGTATATTCTTCCTTCAGAGGAACAACATCATGTGACTTGTGGTCTAAAACAGTGCAGAGCATGCAGACACACATCTGGTCGGTCTCACAGAACAGCTCCAGCGGTTTATCGTGCTTCGTACATATCCTGCCTTCCGGATCCTCCACGGGGTCGATCAGCTGATGTTTTCTCAGACCTGATCTTGTCAGGTGAGGCTGCAGGTGAGTCTCACAGTAGGATTCCAGACACACCAGGCAGGACTTCAGGGCCTTCAGTTTGGCTCCAGTGCAGACGTCACAGGGAACGTCTCCTGGTTCAGCAGCTTGTTGCTCTGAGCTGCTGCTGCTTCCGTCTCTCTGTTGAGCCAACTGTCTAAAGTGAGCAACCATCTCAGAGACTAAAGTATTCACCTGCAGCTCAGGTCTGGTGTAGAACATCTTATTACAGTTGGGACACTTGTAGAGCACATCAGTATCCCAGTGTCTAGTGATGCAGGTTTTGCAGAAGTTGTGTCCACATGGTGTGCTGACTGGATCAGTGAACACATCCCGACAGATGGAGCAGAGAAACTGGTCTTCAGAGAGCGAACTGCCGGCAGCAGACATCTCTACACAATAAAAACAAAAGTGAAAGTGTGAAAAAGCTAAACTAGAATTACAAAATTCCTGATTATTAGTTTAAAAATATGAAACTATGTTTTATAGCTACTTTGCACATACGTCAACGTTTCATTTGAGAAGATTTGTTCCGAAAAGACAAAAGGTGTCACACCCCGTCTCTGAGCTCAGCTCAACCTCAGTATGTGTTGATGTTGGCGGTTTGATCACAGTTGAGATCATCAGCTGTACTCACCAGCGTGCAGAGCCTCGGCTGTGTAGTTTAGAAAAGATCTTGTGAACATTGTTTATTGTGATATTTCTTAAAAAAGAAATAAGACGTCAGCTGCAGTCCTCCTGTTGCCTCTTTCTAACTTTTAGTTTCCTTTCAGGAGTCTGCCGTTGCTCCGCCTCTTGTTTCAGCTCCACTGGTGACTATTGTTTTTGCCCTCTGCAGCTCGGTTATTGCGACACACCTCTGGCATACAATACATCTAATAGGAAGTAAAGTATACAGCCACCCTGTAGTCACTAAGGAGACTTTTCACTTTTTTATGTCTTCTTTGTTTTTAAATGAGGGTCTATAGCATTAAATAGAACATACATTTAGTCCAAGATATGTAAAGGTATAGTGGAGTAATATCTACCTGAGCAGAGCATGGAGTCAGTCTCCCTGTGTGTGTGTTGGTATCAGAGCTTTTAGTGGCCGTTGGCATCATCGCCAAAGCGTAGCGCCCAACCGTTTGCTCTGCCAGCACTGTTACCGTTGTTTGCACTGTTAGCTGCTAACCACCAGCTCAGCCGTCGCCATGTTGAGAGCCATGTGGAGGCAATCCCACAATCATAGATTTGCTCAGTATTTCGTATTGAGCTCTGCTTTAGTCATGTGTCTCAGTAAGCTATGAGAATATAAACAATAGAGCTGCAAGCCGTTAAATATAATTCATCATTTATTTTATTATCAACAGCTGTGTGTGTCTCCTATTTTAACATTTAGCTTCAGGTATCTTTTCTCTTTATACTTATTTATTCTTACTGCACTTATGTCGAGTGATTCTCAGATTTCCCTACAAAACTTTAAATTCTAGCTACATTTCTACACAGCATGCTAACTCAAGCTAACTACGTGCACTGGTTGCAAATTGTCAACCATCACCAGGAGGGATACTATAATGTACGAAACTAAACTATTCTCACTGTGCGACGCTGACGGATGTCTTACTTCTTTTCTTTGTTGCTGTCTGGACTTCTTGCTGCTGCTGCATTTTCATTGTAGACACCAGTATGTGATGGTGATGATTGTATTTTAGGCTGTTTGTATCATGTGTTGTATGATATACGATAGAGAAACACTGCAGGGAAAAGATCAGGATCGCAAAACATTTTCATTAACCTTTTAACTTGATATTCCCTCCTCACCGCATCCGAGTGGCCCCGGGGTCCACTGAGCCACCTCGAAACAAGGGCTGCAAATGAGCTAACACACACACACACACACACACACACACACACACACACTCTTTGGCCAGCACTCGCCATGCAAATTATATGAACTACAATATACGCCGAGACCGTCTCACTCACTCTCAGCTGGTCAGCTCTTAATGAGCACCTCAGAGTGAAAATCACACACACACACACACACACACACAGCTTTCAAACTAGCGCTTGTTAAGCTAGGAACACACACACATATACACACACACACGCTACCTGCAAATGATGATAAAGAGCCATATTAATAATGTATGAGAAGGAAAATGCTCCCTCTGAGTAGAGAAAGGGTTATTAGTGTTTTTAATTAATTGGTCTTTCTTTAGCCCGAGGAGGTGCTTGAGTGCTTTTGAGATTTTTGATATATATATATACATATATATACATATATATACATATACATATATATA